AAGTTCAAACCTTAAGGCATCAAGAAGGTTGGGAGAACTCTTGCTACTTTTCCAGGGGACCTGGATTCCATTTCCAGTACTCTCATTGGTTAGTTCACAAAAGCCTGTAACCCCAGCTCCAAAGGACCTGACACCCTCTTGTGGCTTCTTTGGACACCACACTCATATGCACAAACCCACACTCAGATACATACCTATGCAAAATGACAATCACTGTGGGAAAATTTGACCTTGCCTCAAAAAGCAAATTTAAAATAAAATTACTATATGACCTATTTCACTGCAAGATACAAACCCAAAGGAATTAAATATAAGACTCAGACAAGTACTTTCATGCAGTATTTCTTGCAGTAGTTTTATAAGAGCCAGGATACGGAAAGCCAAGTACCAACAACAAAAAACTGGGTATGGAAAAGTATGGAATATATACATTTCAACAGAATATTACTCTGCCATTAAAAGAAATGAGGTTGTGATCAGTGCTATAGCATGAAGACGTAATAGAAACCCGGGATCAAAGGACAGATGCTAAGTGGGCTCACTTACACAGGGTAGCTAGAATAAGTAGATTCTTAGAGATGGACAGTAACATAGAGATCACTAGTCGTAGGGGTAGCAGCAGAACTGAATGTATCTTCCTGGGTTTACATAATCTAAATTGCATGTGCGAATGGAACTTGGACATTACAGTAAAAGCCAGTGAATTGTACACTTTAGACAGGTGGATTTTATAGTATAGTTATAGTTACAATCTCAACAGAGCAATAAAAAGAAGAAAGGTGTTGGTTTAGGCACTCGGCTTTGCAAAGAGTTTCATATTCTTTCTGCATAGTTTTTACTCCAAAGAGATATGGCTATCATAGAAAGGTGGACTTACCTTGTTTAAACAGCCAGTTGGTCAGATATAACTTAACTAGTTATTTTCTAGCCGATTAGGCTTGGGAAAGGGAGAGAGAAAGGGTTCAAGACAGACACCAAGTAGGATTTTCCTTTAGGCATCTGCAATGCCCCAGCAGATGGTGCAGCCTGAATCTGAAGCTGGATGCTTCACTCTCGTCAACCAAAAGCAAAGTGTCCACTCTTAAAGTTTTCTGAGGGAAGGGAGGCCTTGCACCACTACAAAGCAAGCTTATCAGATACGTGACCTATGCTACATGTCAGAGGCAGGAAAGCAGGATAAATATGACAGGGATCATTCAGTCTCTGTGTAAGGAAGTCACGTGTCACATATCACCCATGTAATGTGACAGCAATTCATACTGCCTCCATCCCTACTGCAGCCCCCTCAGCAAGGGGGCTGAGTGTCACTTGCCTAGAATCTGGATTCCCCCCACACACACACATATATATATATGACTTAATAAGAACAGAACACCTGCCATCAGAGAAAGGAGTGCTAACAGCACTCAAGTTCTTGTTCTTTTCGTTTTTAAAATTATCTTCAATCTTTTTTTACAGTCCAGTCATTTTCCCCCTCCTGTTCTGCCCTCTGACAGTTCCTCATCCCATTTCTCCTCCCCTTCCTCAGTTGGCCCCTGCCCCCCCACCCCACCTTGTCTCCAAGAGGATGTCCCCATCCCACCCCTACCCCACCAGGCCTCCCCACTCCTTTGGGACTCAAATTTTGAAGGGTTAGGTGCGTCTTCTCTTGTGGGACTGCGTAAGAATCGGCAGGTGTTTGGCCACGTCCCCAGAACCCTGGGTCCTGACACGAGGTCTAGTCTCCATGGACCTACATTGTTCAGTCACATAGGCCATTACAGCCCCTCCCAAAGTGCACAGTTAAAGGATGTGACTACAGGCCTCAGGCCCTAGATTTACATATTAATGAAGGCCAGAGGGCGGAGCCAATTAAACATTCTTCCCGAACCCTCCCCCTTCCTCCCTCCCTATTTAACTCAGGTCTGCCCTGAGTTTCAGGGGAGTACATCCAGATCCATCTACCATCCATCCCTTTTGGAACTATGGACATTCTCGTGTCTTTGGGGCCTGCTGCTGCCAAAGCCTCCAGCCTTTAGAACTCCAGACCTTTCTCCTGTATGTGGGACCTGCCAGTGTGGAAAGTCTCAGGGACACCGCTGTGGCTTTTTTCCCACATTCTCTCATTGAGGCCAGACCAGTATTCATGTTGTGGGCCTAGTACCAGCTAGTGTCCAGCAGTCCCAACTAACCTGAACTCCCAAGATCTCTCAGACACTGAGCTCTCAGGTTGTTGACTGGATCAACTTCCATAAGGATTTTTGGGAAAGCTGAATTATTAATGAAACAGGTTAGAAGAGGCTGTGGTAGAAAGCATTATAGAATAAAGGTAGTTTTCAGGAGTTGTCATGGATGTCCTTCAGGTTAAGTAAGCTCAAGCATCAGAGCAAAGCAGGCCTGAAGGAGGCAAGAAGATAAAAACGAAGACCAAAAGTGTAAGGCCTCAGAGCATTTGCGACTGTGCTGCTGTAGGCCACTGACTGCTGCTAAGGGCAGTCACGGCAAGAATCTATAGGCCGGCAATCTCAGTGTCCATTTCAGGTCTGGTGAGTCAGAGTATATGATGAATGAGGAAGTCAGGGAGAGAAAAGCTTCCTTGTGATCTTAGGGTTCCTTTTCAGACCTGAGAGTATGAAACCAAACTCTTGGCTTCCCAGCAATCAGTAGGTCTAGGAAGAAGAACAGACCTAAGCCAGTGATTCCTTGACCTAGCACTAAGATTTCATGACAGATGGACAGAGACGGGCAGGAAGTCTGTAGAATCCAGATTTACCCATTTAGAGACAAAGCTCTGATGCTGGAGAAAGATGATACCTCTGGTGATGAAGGGTGGGCAGAAGCCCTGGTTGGGGCAACTCACATCCCCCCCACCACCACATAATTGCTTTGAGGGTTCATCTATTCTTGTGTAGAATGATTCCAGTAAATTTTCTCAATTCTGTCTCACAAATTTTTCTGGGATCCATGTACTTCTCTTTGTCCCAATACCCAGTGACTTAGTTGGGGTTATCCATGTCAGCATGGATATCTGCAGTAACCAAACGTGTCTGTATCCTCAGTTCTAATCTATCAGCTGATCATCATAGAATTTAAAGTTCTCCAATATATATATATATATATCTGGGGGTGGAAGACATACAAACATTAACACTAATTATTATCGTAGTTAATAACTGAGCTCTCCAAAGACATATGTATGTGTAGACATCCAAAAACACATAAACACGTAAGAGATAATTACAAGGAACTGACTCAAATAATTCTGTCAAGTCTGAAGGTTGATAGGTTACTGCAAAATCAGAGTCATCAGTGTCCAATCCAAAGACTGACAGAACTCTCTTGAGGACCTTTTTCTCTACTTGGCCTTCTCCTGTTTGGACGAGGTTCACCACTTTACCTTGAATAGCACTTGCTTAATTTTTAAAAATTTACCTCAGCCTGGCATACACCTATCACACCTGATAGGGCTTGAGAGGCAGAAGCAGGATGAGGAGTCCATGACCAGCTGTGGCTACATATAGAATTTGAAGCTACACTGGTGAACATGAGACCCTGATTTTAAAAACAAACAAAAACACTCTCAAGGGGTAGGGTTATAATATATACAGGTCCTTAGGTTTGATCTGTTTCACATTTGTACACACACATACATACATACATACACACACACACATGTATACACACAAAAGGGGGCAGGAAGGTCCTTAAACCTTATCCATATGGGGGTATGGGGACCAGAATCAGACCAAATATCTGAGCACCCGTGACATCACCACATGAGAATAAAATGACAGACCTGTACTTTTAACATGTCTCTCCAATCTGCTAGCTGGCCAGGTGTAATATAAACAAGCATTAATAATTTGATGTCACCGGGTATTGAGGGTTTTAAGAGATCTGAGGAAGAGTTCACCTGCACGTGTGTAAGCACATCACATTCATCTGTAGTGCCCAGAGACCAGAGAAGTATGTCAGGTCATCTGGAACCAGAGCTACAGATGGTTGTGAGCTACTTCAGGGGGTGCTAGAAACCAAATCTAGGTCCTCTTGCAAGAGCAGCAAGTGCTCTCAACCTCTGAACCATCTCTCCAGCCCTAGGAAATTGTTTTATCTCAGTTTCCATGTCCTGCTCTAAGAACAGATGTCACTTTCCTCAGAGAAGAAACATTTATATAAAATAATGCTCACAAATTCTACCACACGTCTGTGACATGGTTCACTTCACGTCAACAAGACTATTAAATTTTCCTCTGAAGTTTGTAATAAAATACTTGCCAAATCAAAATGTTTCTCTCAGGGCAGTAGTGGCAATACCTTTAATCTCAGCTCTCAGGAGGGAGAGGCTGGTGGATCTCTGTGAGTTCAAGGTTAGCCTGGTCTACAGAGCTAGTTCCAGGACAGCCTTGTCTCAAAAAACAAAACAAAAAGTATCATAGGTTTTTAAAAATGACCATCCTCAAGCTTTCTCACAAAATAAAGCACATAGTATATATAAAAGGGGACAATTTCTAATCCTAGCACTTGGGAAGTGGAGGCAAGGTAGGAATTCAAGGTCATTTTTGGCTATGTGGCAACTTCAAGGTCAGTCTAGCCTACATTACAAGACCGTGTGTCAAAAATTAAATACCTGTAAGTATGGGAAATTTCAACATACAAATTAATTATATTCATCAAGTACCTGTTTAGCACACCAAAGCCCTGGGCTCAGTCCTCAGCAGGGTTTGGAGTGGCAGGGGATACAAATCAACAACTATTTAATACCATTTAATCAAAAATTAGCAAAAAAAAATTTTTAACACTTCCGAGACAGTGGCTGTGGTGAGAAAAACAAGGGGATGGGTATAAGAGGTAGCAACATACAGTTCCATGAATCTAACACTTGGGGTGAGGGGACAGCCGAAAAAGAAAAACTAGAAACTTAACCCTGCATGGGAAGGCACAAGAATTCTTTATATCATTCACCTTTTCTGTATGGTTTAACTATCTCATAAAGTTTTAAATAATGAGTCCAAAGAAACAAATTTACTTGTAATATTTATTTTTATACATTTTTTAAATTGCAATTTTCAGAATATATAAGTATTTCTCTTACACAGAAATAAGCGTTCTTTGGTACAGAAATCACACCATACATGTTGTGTGATCTTAAAGAAAAAAAAAATCACTAACTGTGACTATGTCAAAACTAGTCTTTGCCTATCCATTTGTCCCCTGCCATAGCTCCCCGGTGAGACTTTTAGAATAAGAGTTCTATTTACATCAATGTATCTACACAGACATCACATCAAAGGTACTTCAAGGTCCTATATGTCAAGGTAGTACATGGCTTGAAAATAGATGGCACTAAATACAGAAGCAGGACACTTACTTGATTTTAAGGGTCCACAACCATCTGAGGCAATACAAATCCACTAAAGCATGAATCTAGTATCACAGAGTTAAATTCATGAAAGGGTGTCGGACTAAAGACTGATAAATCTTGAAGGAGAAACTTTACAGGACAGATACAGTGGGACCTTAACACAAAGGTCAACTAATAGGAAACCCATAGAAACAGTTACATGTGATACACTGGAAACCAACTTTAGAATTATATAAATAACTTGCAAAGCTTCATTAAATAATACCTAGCATACAGCCATAAATTTGATAAGGTAGTTCAAAGACAGCAATCTAACATATTGAACAAGAGAAATATTAACTATGAAAGCAGTTAACTATAAAAATAAATAGAAAATAAGCATGTAGTCTATAAAAGTTTTCATTTTGTGAACTAAAGGCTTTTTTTAAAAATGGGGTCATAGGATGAGAAAAAATATATTTTAAGATCATCATCAAAATTCAAAACTGTCTTGTACACCAGTAGTCCTGGCCCTCAAGAGACTAAGACAGAAGACTGGGCTTCACAGGAAGACTGCTTCAAATTCCCATTAAAATATATATATATAGAGAGAGAGAAAGTATTTTTCCTTCAAGTCAATGAAGTTTAGATTCATACAATTTTCTTAGAGAAACAGTCTTCATCCTAAAAAGTGGGAATCAAAAGTGGCTTTTAATTACACTCATCAAGTCTTATTCACAGACAGTGAGTGTCGTGTGGTGTGGCTGTGGGTACTGGGATAAAGAAGGAAATAAAGCACCACCACCAGTTTCAGAGTAGGTGTCCTGTGGAGCTGGACCATGCACCTGAAATCTTCATCGCCTGCCTTAGGAGACACACCAAGCTCAACTCCCAACTCAAGCATTTTTGTCATCTTCTCACCAAACAAATAATGCCCTGGTTGCAGGGAGGCATTATTATGACAATCAATTACTGAATTACTTACTGATGGAATTAGCTTTCATAAAGGAGTCTATAAAAGTTTAGAGGGCAGAGAGCATCTAAGGTAAATACTGCCACATCAGAGAAAACACATAAGCAAATAAGAGAGTCCAGTATTCTGCTTTCACAAAGTCAAGAACATCAAGAAAAATTTCACTCTCAGTATGTCTGGAGACAGGCAGCCCCATACATGTGGTCCATGTGCAAATATCTTATGTGTGAGTGTGTGAGTCACTAAGCGATTATATCTGCAAGTCAGTTGTCAGGTTTCAAGGAATCGTAGCCTTCTTTCAGCAGGTCTCGCCACGTTTTCAGGAACCGTGCATTTTCTGTACACTTCAGGGCAAGTTCTTCCACTTGAGCTGACACCGCAGATGTGGCTTCAAGAAGCTTAGTTAATGAAAATGCCGCCTGGAATTTAATGAAAGAAACGTCAGACAGGTTTGTTTGTGGTACTAGAACTCAGGACCTCCCCAGCACCGAGCTACACCCTGAGCCCCACACATGCTTATTTTTTTAAATTCTCATCTAACTTCATAGTCTAAATATGAAAACCTTAAAACCTCCCATCAAATGCCCACATGTTTTTCTTTAAATGAATTAAAAAACAAACAAACAAACAAAAACCACCAACAAACTGGTTCTTTCTTGAACCTTTCAAAGTCTCAGAACATGGGAAGCACATAACTCTACCGAGCTGCACTCATAGCCTCTAAATTTTTTTCATTATGTAACTTTGAGGATACATACCTGCCATAAAAATACTCACTAGATATGACAAGTCAGTATTTTTAACAGAAAAGACACCCAACTCTCGTATATTTCACCAAGGCAACCTGGAAACCTTTTGACTAAAAGTGGCAGAGCCATCCAAAGGACTTTTGCTGGTAACTAAGTAAGAAAAGCCCTGTTCCTCTATTTTCACCCATGAAAACTTATTTTTTGAACTATAAATAAATAAAATCAAAGAACTGACACTCTGAGCTGAGCTGACACAACATCTAAAATCACACACAGCTATGAAAGACTCACTTTTAAATTAAATGCTTTCTTCATCAAAAATGTGAAATAACTTTTTTATATCACATCAGCATTTATTGTACACATAAATTGGAAACCAGTATTGTGAGTTTTTTTTTGGGGGGGGGGAACACACCCGGACCAGTACTTCAGCCATCTCTTTTAACAAAAGAATAAAAACCTGTCACCCAGTTCTAGTTTCCAATCGTTAGTGCGGTGATTCCACAACGCTCTGCAGGAAGGTTGCCTGCTACATACTTCATTCCTCTCTCCCTCTCAGGAGTCCGTATAAAGTGATGCTGTGACTCTTCAACCCCTTCAGTGTTATATGTGTTGGGGTCAGGAAGTGATTTCTGGGAATTCGAGATTGAACAAAAACTTCACAGAATTTTTGCACTGCAGGAATCTGTCTAATCTGTCCTGTCTAATCCATCAGTGAAACCAATGATCTTTGCTGCCGGCTATGATTAGCCCTGGGCCACTCAAGTCCAACACAGAGCAAGTATGCGGCACACAATAGCATCACCAGCTGGCCCTGGGCTGGTGGCCAACTAGAAGGGCAGGCTCGAGTCCCTCAGAAAGCACCAATGGGCAGGGAGGCTATGACCGCCCAAAGTGCTCCGAGGGATGGGAGGAGGCGGAGAGAGGGTCCCGGTTGCGGTGCTGCGGGTGACCGCAAGCAGAAGGAGAAGGAAAGAAAGATGCAGGCGGAGAGAGCCGAGGCTAGCCCTCAACTCCAAGAACCGCAGGCGGGAGCACCCTAGCTCAAGCAGCTCTCAGCCGCAGCGGCGACACTCACGTCTCCGATCTGCAGCTCCACTTGCTCCAGCGGGTCCACCGTTGGACCGTGGCTCCGGCTCGGACCCCGCCAGCCCAAACTCACTGGCATGCTGAGGGACGACGAAGAGGCGCCTGACGACGGAGACGAGGGAGGCGGTGGCGGTGGCGAAGAAGCCCGAAACTCCTCAGAGTCAGCCATGAGGCTGAGCTGGTACCTCCGGACCGGACCAAGCAACCGAACCCAAACTAACTGCCTTTCGACCGCTCGCGCCCAAAGCTCACAGGCTCCGCCTCCTCCCACACGGAGTCCCGCCCCATCTTCGCGTTTGTCTCTGCCCTGGACCACAAGTACTTTTCATTTTTCCAGACAACCAATCAGATATCAAGCCAGGCGTCACCTCGCTCCTGCGCACACCTCCGGTCCGGATCCGGAGACATTGGAGCTGAACACTACAACTCCCAGAATGCCGAGCGAATCATCCCGCTATGCTTCTAGTACGCATGCGCGCATGCGAGAGCTTGCGTGCTTCTTCCGCACACTAGGTTCCTGGATGAGGATGACTGGGAGATGGAGTCTTCTGCCTTTTCCTCGCTTGTACGTGACCCGGAAACCTTACGGGCCATCGTGTCCTCTGTGGCGCCGGCGCAAAGCAGAAGAGGGGCGGGTACGCCGCAAAGCAAGGGCGGTCGGTGGAGCCGAGAGGCTGACAGAAGCTGAGCGGTAGGGGCTTCTTGGCAGGTGATGGCGCCCCTCGTGGCCTAGAAGTCCAGCGCCCTCCGTAAGCTACAGACCTGCCTCTCTCCGTTGTATCTGGTCAAGTCTCCGGGTCACTGTGATCATGTTGGTGCGGCTAACCAAGCTATCCTGCCCTGGTGAGACGAAACTCCTGGTGGGGACAGATGGAGCAAGGTGGATAAGTTGGGACAAAACAGGCTGGGGCCACCACACCTAGGGCACCGCAAGCACTTCCCTCCTTGTCTGTTTTCTTAGGCTAAACTAGGGCAAAGGTCAGTGCTGTCAGCGCCTGGTGGCCGATCCAGGTTTACCGACCTTGGAGTTGCCCCAGTTGGCAGAATTAACATCTAGGTTAAAGGTCATGGGAAGAGGAAAATTGTCAACACTGCCCCCCTCGGTGGAGTTCCCCCAAATTCCAGTCCTAATCTTTACCCCAAGGCTCAGGTATTATCTGCAGTCTTATTAGGATTGGAAAAGAAAGAAAATTTGTGTGGGTTTTCTCCTTGGCTCTGACCTGACTTTCATCTTTGCAGCCATAATAGTACAATCTTAATGGAAGTCTGGGCTGTCATATCGTGTTAACTTAATGTATCACCAATTATGTCTGGAGTTGGAAATTTTTCTGCATTATCCTCAGTTAACTCTAGGCGTTTTTGTTATGGGTGCATCTTAAAGCATGATAGTTTTATGTTTTCACTGAAAAACAACTCCTAATTCAAACAGAAGTTTAGAGGATCTTGAATCCTGTTGTAACTGGCTTAATATAAATCTTTACTGAAGTTAATTTGGCTATGGGATTTTTAAACCAGTATGTCTATACTTATTTTAAACAATGATGGTGGTTATGTTTGAACTCAAACGGAATTTGCCTATATATATATATATATATATATATACACACACACACACATATATGCATGCTTGTTTAAACAATATGTTTTATATTCAAACCAAGTATCTATTACACGCAGGATATGTTATGCTTTTAGAGCCATCAGTGTATTAGCTGCGTCTTCTTTACAGCCTAATTTAGATGCAGCTTCAAATCCAGTCAGTGACTTTTCTTTGAATGCTAATTTGTTACATTTTTATAACTCAGTGTTACCACTAGTGGTGACAACTAAGTGTGCATGAGTGTGTAATGTGTGTAATCGATATTCAGTGGACTCTAACTTTGCTTCTCTACCATAACTCTTGACTCTACGCCTAAATGTTCAGATGGCTCATGAGAGATACCAGGCTCATTTAAGCAAAAGAATAAACGTTATGCTTCCTTTAAATTTCTCTGGTGGAAATCAGAAACTATGGTTTCAATTAGTAGATGTACACATAATAGAATTAAAGTTTGTCATATTCCACTCTTTAATTTTCAGAAGTAAATAACTTGTATATGATAAACTACAGTGTATAATAAATACTTTTTTAAAATGATGATGGTATGTTTGAACTCAAACTGAATTTGCCTATAATTATTTATAGGTATCTTTCCCCCATGATTTGGAGTAAATAAAGATTTAGTCTTGGTCTTAATAAAGTATTCCAATATCATTGATTGATTGATTGATTGATTGATTGATTGATTGATTTTTTGAGACAGGGTTTCTCTGTGTGGTCCAGGCTGCCCTGGAACTGGCTCTGTAGACCAGGCTAGCCTCAATCTCACAGATACCCACCCTCTTGCCTCTACCCTGTGCTGGGATTAAAGGCATGCACCACCACTGCCAGCAATACTATAATTTTTAGTGTGCAAAACAAGCTGGAGAAGATTTCCCTATCACTTTAAAATTATCAAAAGAAATGTATAGTACTTACAAAACATTAGACTTCTACTCAACATGTTTTTTCCCACTTCATTCAACCTAACATTGTCTTGATGCCAGGTATTACTTGAGAAACTATTTTGTTGAAATATTTTGAAATATTAACCATGTAAGTGGTGCTAAAAGATAAAATTAGTTTGTATAAGGTTAATTTGTGTTAAAAAGATTACTTCTTTCTATTTAATTAAAAGAAAAAACTTACCATGGCCTCAGATTCCATGACTTCAGAGATAATTTCAGATCAATTACTATTCTCAGAATTTGATAAATATTAGAAGAAACTATCTGAATTTCTATTTATCTACTGTAAATAGGGAGTGTAGCTACTCCATGTGTCTCAGAAAGTTATGAGGGATATTTTGCTTGGAACAAATACTTATAAAGCACAGGTTGGTTATGATCTGTTATGTAGCTGAAGATAACCTTGAATTTCTGATCTTCCCAGTGTGCATTACCTGGTTTATGAGGTACTGGGGATCCAACTAGGCAAGCACTCTACCAACTGAGCTATATCCCCAACCAAGAAATAGTATTAAAATAGAAAATTCTTAACCATCCATTGTGTCAATGAAATTTTTGTCTTTACTATTAACTTTTTACAGTCCACTTATAAAAGTTTGTAGATGCTTCATAAGACACAGTCCAAGACCTCACTATTGTAACAAAAATTACACAATTTCACAGGATTCTATGTATATAACCACTGTAATTGTTACTCGAAAGGTCCTGATCCTGTTAAGAAGCGCATAGTTGGTGGGTGTTTGTCTGTTTGTTTGTTTTTAAAAAAGGAGTCTTTGTGCTATGTATAGTCCTACCTGGGCTGGAACTCCCTGTGTTGCCAGACTGGCCTTATAGTCACAGAGATCCCCCTATCTCTGCCTCTAAGTGCTAGAATTAAAGACATCACCATGCTCATCTGAATAGCTGTAGCTCTTGTATTTCAATCTTTGATCTACCTATCACTGTATTCTTTATGTAACTTTTTATTTTGAACTTGCTTTAGGCTTTGAGATGAGTTACAGAGCAAATACAGAGTTCCCATATGTCTTTCTCAAGTTTAACATCACATATAATCATGGTGAATATCAAGACTAAGAAACTAACATTGATAAAATGTTATTACACTACAAAATTACTCAGGTTCCCATTTTCTGGTTCAGGATCTAGTCCATGTAGCTTTTAGTTAGCATACCCCTATGCTAACTATTTTAATGGGACAGTTCCCCTGCTTCTTGTCATTTGTGACTTTGATATAAGCATTTTATTGAGTGCTTCTCAATCTAAATTTACTTTGTGGTTTCTCATGATTTCCTGATTAGACTGTGGTGTAAGGATTTTGAGGGTATGCACCACACAGGTAAAGAATCTTTCTCATTACATCATATCAATGGTATGTGATATCAGTGTATTGCTGGTAGTATTTAAATGGTATTTGATTCAAATATCATTTGATCCATTTAATTCAAATTATAACAACTGTAAAGTTAGGTTTTTCTCTTTTAATATTCCACTTATTCGGAACTAGTAAGGTCCAGTCCACACTCAATAGAGGAAGACTCAAAGAATATGCAGATATATAATCACAGTCTTTAGTATTATGAGTTTTTGTATAAAACTCTGTAATTAAGTTTGGTATAGGGTGAACACCTTTAATTTCAGCCTTTGGGAGGCAGAGGCAGGTGGATCTCTGTAGTTCAAACCCAGCAGCATCTATTTAACAAGTTCCAGGCCAGCCTGGGCTATCTAATGAGACCATGTCTCAAACAAACTATCAAAAAAAAAAAAAAGGGATTGAATGGAATTCATTTGACATAAAGGACAGTATATACATTCTTTCCAAATGCCTTTCTATTTTTGTGCTATTTAATGAGTAACTATCCCTCTGCATGTATTCAACTTCTAAACCATTCATTTTTTTATGATATCAGCCATTCATTTTATTACACTATGTCTTACTCGTTTTAAGATTTGAAATTTTGCTTTATGAGCAAAAGTTAGCTATATCACTTATATAAGAAAAAGCATATTCCATTTTGATTTTTGTCACTTATTAAGAATATTCATTCAGCTTAGAGAGTTTTTGGTATACAACAGATGGAAACTATTTTTTTAAAAGATACTGTTCTTTATTTTATGCAGCATATCAGTGGTTTCATGCCTTAAAAATTAAGAAGTGCCTACCTCTCTGTGCTCTAAGATGCTCTTCAACTTCCGCTGTACCTCAAATTACCACTCACTACACTGTTCATCCCCGGGAAAAAGACAAAAGATGGGAAGGTAAGTGATAATTTTCATAAAATTCTTGAGACTTTCCTAGATACTTTATTTTATCTTGTTGGTATTAACATTTTATTTTTCATGATAATTGAAAAGCATCCAATATATATCAAATGTGTTATATATTACGGTTTAGATAAGTAAAAACTTTTTGTTGTTGTTCATTTATTTCTTTTAGAACAGAATTTCTTGTAGTGGTCTGACCTTGAACTCCTGAATATAACAGGATGACCTTGAACTCCTGATTCTCTTGCTCTTACCACCCAGTTGTTGTGATTATAAGTGTGTACCACCATGCCTTCTAAATTCATAATAATGAATTTCAAAGCCAAAAGTCTGTTCATGGGAACCAAAATAAGATACATACTGAAACAGAACCTAAGAGAACCTGAAACTCATCAAATTATATACTTACTATAATTATTATGCATAGCCCAGAGAGACTATCTATAAATTATAATCTAAAGCATAGTGAGCACACTAATATACATCTTAAAGCATCCTAAACCAGCATATGACTTATGTGGTTATGAGGTCATATTAATTCCTTTATCTTTAACATGTTTTCCTCCCAGGAGTGAATATGGAGAGATTTGCAGAAGAAGCAGATG